TTAATTTAATCTTTGTTATCAAACATCATAATAGCAATGTGCATTTTATTTCATTCTATTCTCACTTAAAAATATAATCGCATACTAATCGTAATGTAAAAGAAAATTGNGAACCCCCCCAATTCACACTTATACTCTCTCTCTTTCTCTCTCTCTATCTCCCTACCTTTTTCTTATTTTATTTTTGTTCATTTAATTTTAAATTATACGATTAAAGAGAATTTTTTTTAAATATTATAAGATTAATATTCTNCGTAATGTAAAAGAAAATTGTTGTGAAGATCCTTGTTATTTATGCATTGAAGGGGTTCAAATCCTTCATATTTCCCCTGACAGTATGATTTTTGTCATTGACAAGCATTTTTTCCTGTGGACAAATGAATTTATACNAAACATCATAATAGCAATGTGCATTTTATTTCATTCTATTCTCACTTAAAAATATAATCGCATACTAATCGTAATGTAAAAGAAAATTGTTGTGAAGATCCTTGTTATTTATGCATTGAAGGGGTTCAAATCCTTCATATTTCCTCTGACAGTATGATTTGTGTCATTGACAAGCATTTTTTCCTGTGGACAAATGAATTTATATATAGGAAAAAATCACAATGAGGCTCGAATAATATTGAAAAGAAGCACAACTGTAAGGCTTGTGTAAGAGGAATATGTTTGGACAATACCGTGCAAAGTCTCCACACCAACTTTTATATCAGAAGAAAAACAATTCTCATAACTTAAAAAGACTTCGTATTCAAAAGTTCATCTCACATTCCGAGAGCTTAGAAGAGTCATTTTTTTCCAAAAGACTAGTAGTACTCATACCTAGAAAGGTCATTTTCCCCATAAAGGGATATATCAAAAATTTCGGACAAAACATAAATTAAAGACCACTTACCCATTAGAGGGAATAAACAATAAACGGGTCAACTATATTGCTGATGTACTCCATTAACCAAAGACCGCCCCCTTTAAGAGAGAGTTATAATATCGAAATATTATTTTTATGTACAGNCATTAGAGGGAATAAACAATAAACGGGTCAACTATATTGCTGATGTACTCCATTAACAAAAGACCGCCCCCTTTAAGAGAGAGTTATAATATCGAAATATTATTTTTATGTACACNAAGTAACTGTGATATTTTAATTTTTTAAGTCATGGAGGAGTGGAGTTATTATTATTTTTATTATTGCATTATGTAGTGGGATTTTATTTCATATGATATGCAATCCACTCATTTGGGTATCAATATATTGAAAGAGTTCTTCATTTCTTCAAGATTAGTCTCTTCCATTATATTTTTTGTGAGTGTGTGATGGTCCTCTTGATTCAAACAAAGTGGTATTAGATGTAACGACCTAGTTTTTGGTGAACAAAAATTGGGACAAGAATGAGTATAGGAGTGAGTAGGAGTTTGGAGTCCGAATAATCTTACTATGAATTGATATCTCTAGAGTATGTGTGTAGGTATTTTGGGGATGAATAGGGTGTTAGTTTGGAGTAAGAGTGTAACTGGTGAAGAGAGAGCAAGCCCGAACATGGATTCAAATGAAGTAGAGTTGATGCGTGCCAAAGAATTAGGGGTGTAGAAATGATGTTCGAGGATGAAATTGGATGTCAATTTGAACTTTAAAAATTAATAGAAAATTTTCTAGGACTTGTTTTAACATGTATGTAATTATAATATATATATATATAAATTAATTTTTGAATTTAGGAAATTTACAGAAATGTCATTTCATGTTCAGCACTTTCAAAGTAGCTTGCTAGCTGCATTTGAAGGTCCCTAGTAGCATGGTTTTCACCTAGCAAGGTAGATTACCTGCTCGGGTGGTGTGGAAGAGAGAGAAATTATAGAGAGATAGAAGGGAGAAGATAGAGAGAGAAAGTGTGTAAATTTGCAAAAATTCAATTTTTGTAGAGGAATCATAGACTAATTGGGAAGCTAGGAAGCTGAATATGTAGTTTAATTTGTGTTTTGATCATTTTTTATCCATGAAAACATGTTTTAAATTTTTCGGTTTTGCATGAGTATGAAATGGGTATAATGATTCGAAAGGCTTTGGTTCAATTGAGTTTGGGGTTTTGTTTCTAGATGTTAGATAGGATGTTTGGTGGTAGTTTGTGATGATGCACAAATTGGGTTTGCACACCATCTGTCAGATGAGCAGGAATAAATGCAGTAATTAAGAGAGACACAAGCAAGACAAGAATTTATAGTGGTTCAGTCAATGTAACATACGTCCACTTTAAATGGCTAGGGTCGACGGAGTATTTTATTACTTCAAGTGTGTAAGGAGAGCAGAGAGTTACAAGTTGNAAAATTTTCTAGGACTTGTTTTAACATGTATGTAATTATAATATATATATATATAAATTAATTTTTGAATTTAGGAAATTTACAGAAATGTCATTTCATGTTCAGCACTTTCAAAGTAGCTTGCTAGCTGCATTTGAAGGTCCCTAGTAGCATGGTTTTCACCTAGCAAGGTAGATTACCTGCTCGGGTGGTGTGGAAGAGAGAGAAATTATAGAGAGATAGAAGGGAGAAGATAGAGAGAGAAAGTGTGTAAATTTGCAAAAATTCAATTTTTGTAGAGGAGGATTCGAGCAAGGATAGATAATCATAGACTAATTGGGAAGCTAGGAAGCTGAATATGTAGTTTAATTTGTGTTTTGATCATTTTTTATCCACGAAAACATGTTTTAAATTTTTCGGTTTTGCATGAGTATGAAATGGGTATAATGATTCGAAAGGCTTTGGTTCAATTGAGTTTGGGGTTTTGTTTCTAGATGTTAGATAGGATGTTTGGTGGTAGTTTGTGATGATGCACAAATTGGGTTTGCACACCATCTGTCAGATGAGCAGTAATAAATGTAGTAATTAAGAGAGACACAAGCAAGACAAGAATTTATAGTGGTTCGATCAATGTAACATACGTCCACTTTAAATGACTAGGGTCGGCGGAGTATTTTATTACTTCAAGTGTGTAAGGAGAGCAGAGAGTTACAAGTTGAGAGAGATAAGAGAGATCTGCTCGACTGAATGTGATGCCTCCAAATGTTAGCGGGGCTTACAATTTATAGTCGCCTCATAACAGATTGAAGAGAGTTATTAGTAACTAGATGACTAATATGGTGGAGTTGGCGACCTTTTCTCAACGGATGAGGTGGTTACGGTGATCTCCATGAGATTCGGTCAAATTATAACGTGGGGGTTGACCATTTTCAAGGCGGCATAGATAAGGATCTTGAAGACCCCGCTTACTCACTTGGCAAGCTTGACCGGGTGTGGACCTCTCTGGGCTGGATACTAGATCTTTATAAGTTCGTCTCTTAATTTAAACTAGGCTTACAATGTGGGTTGGACTCTTGGGCTTGACCCATCATTTGCCCCCAATGCCTTGTGTCCAATGGAAGTTGGAGAGGAGGACATTCAGTTGAATTTGAATTTCGGCTGAATGCACAATTGGAAAAATTTTGGGAGACCAAAACATCTGTTTTAAGAACTTTTTTGGACTTTTAACTGCGTCAGTCATAGCCAAAGACAATGAGTCTTGTAGGGTTCGTCGAGAGTTTCGATTTAATATATAATAAACCCCATTTGGAGAAACGGATTAAAAGTTATGGTCAAAATAGCGATCAACCCTTCTTGAACTTGGATTTGTTGGAGACTCCTTTTGATTGGCGACTCCCTTCCTTCCTATAGACTCCTTTTGCCTGTGGGACATCATTAGCTATATAAAATCCTTATTTTACTTCCACTTTTGGATTCTTGAAGAGCCCAAGCTTACCAAGTGGGCCTTTTTGATTTTTCCTTTCCTTAATAGGATTTTTAAAAAACCCTAGGCTATAAGTAGAGAGTTTTCTTCCCTATTTCACTCACTTTGAGAAAGTGCTCCTTCTTGAGATATTTGAAGACCCCAGGCTAGAGGTCCTTGAGATGAGTTCTCAGCAATATTATCAGAACTGGACAGGTAATCGAACTGGCAAGGGGACCGGGTTAATGGTTCAACCGTTGGGTCAACTAGTCGGACTGATCATATAATAAAAAAATAAAAAAATATATAATAATTATAAAACATAATAATTCAGCTAAAAAAATATAAAATAGGTTTAAAATGCATACAATTTGCCATAAAATTAATGAAGTTAAGTAAAAAAAAACACTTGTGCCAAATATCAAAGTTCAACTTTAAAGTTCCAATCCAAATACATAACGTAAAAATCACTCCAAGTGCAAACCCCAAACCACAATCTCTATTGAAGTTAAAAAACCACCAATTTCTGAAAGCTTTGAATTGCTTGAACTGCACCCTTTGACATACTACACAAGCTAGGTGAACAAAATGGCTAGCAAGATGATAGGACACTGTGGACCAATCCAAATAATAAGGCAGAAATGTATATTCTAAATTCCTTAGGAACCAACATCAACATGATTATATGTGAGAAAGGAAAAAGGAGAAAGGATGAGAAGACAACTATTTTATTTACCTTAACGTTACAGACAGACAGCAGAAAGCTGGAGCTTGACTGACTGAGAAAGATCGATCAATTGCTGAGTGGTCACCTGAATGTGCCTATGTATTGAACAATGAATAGAACAACCTTGATATTTGCTGCCTGAATAGTGAACAGAACAGGCCAGGTAGACACCTGAGTTGATCGCTACCTCCCTGGTGGTGAGACGAAGAGCACTAGTCTCTACCTTATACGATTTAGGGCAAATCAAAATGTCCCAAATTAAAAACAAAACATCAGAGTTAATTTTTCATTTTTTTAAAATGGACTTCAAACTGGTCCAGTTTTTAAAAATCGTCTAGTTCATGATTTTCTTAAAAAATTGGTCGGTTTGACAGTTTTTATCCGGTTTACTTCCTTATGCGGTTTAACTAGTAAATTGGATCGATTGTGGTCCCGAGTTAAGGTTGAACCGGTCCGATCCGATTTTGTTCTAATTCTCAGAAACATTTGTCATCAGGAAGAGAGAAAATGAGGAGTTCTGATGATGGAGTAGCCGACATGGAGGGAGGCAGTGAGGCTATCACTGGCGTGGTGGTGACCGAAGGGGAAGGTAGAGCTGGGGCTCTACAAGATGCCGACCAGATAGGTGTCATCGTGGACTATGGCAGTGAGGAGGAGACTCGAGGGGGCAAGCAGCCAAAGGGCGACGTGCCATTACTAGGCCAAACGATTGCCGAGTGGCGTGCGCATTGAGGAGGCTACCCAAGGCGCCAAGGTCCAGGTGAGCGAGGCCTTGGGCGTCCAGGATGTGGCAACCCCAATCAGGGAAGCAAGCCAGACAAGGATAGGAGATGGAGGTGCTGTGCAGGTGGATGGGCTTGCCTCGGGCACTGTTGGCGTGCGGGCTGTGCGCACTAGGGCGAGCGCCGTTGGGCATCCGTTGGAGGTGAGCACCTCTGGGACAAATGTTGTTACGACAAGCATTACTGGGCGTGCGAAGGAGAGGCGAGCAGGCCAGGTGAGTAGCAGGGTTGTTGTTGCGAGCCAGGCGCCGGACACCCATGCTGCGGCGACCCATGTCGGGCAAGTAGGCCAAGCTAGTGATGGATCCAAGCAAGCGGATCAAACCGCTGAGGCACCTCTGTTACTAGGTGAGATGCAGTTAGCCATGGGTACCTTTGGTGGTGAAAACTCTAGGAATATGGCGGATGATCTGGCTACTTCAGGAGGAACTCCTCAAAGTCAGATTCTTCAGGGCCTCCTTGGAAGTGGCTCGGGCAACTCTTCACGCCCTCGCAATAGAAAACACCAAGGGAATGTAGCTCTTGACGACGATGGATTCAAAGTAAGTACCATTTCTAGTACTCTCAATACGAACTCTAATATTTTGTGGATTGTTTTCGCTTACCACATTCCTCCAACGGTACTGTGCCGTTGAGCTAAGATGGGTGAGCTATGGGTGAGCTTTCTTGTGATCACTCCTCTGGTGACATTGTTGACTTGATCCGAAATGTGTACACCCAAGTGTAGGCAATCAAGCTGTAGTAATAATCCGGTTGAGTCTGGAGTCGAAGCCTCAAGGAACTATGATTGGTGTTTTGAAGTGATTAGTAGTAGCGACCAAGTAACTGAAAACCTTGAGAGTTTGAAGTTGTGGGATTTCCTGAATAGAATATAAAATTCTTTCCAAGAGTTTTCTAGACAAAATATAAAATAAATTTAAATGTACAACAGTCACCCTTTAGCTCGAGGATCAGAACATGTAGTTAATCATCCGGTTTATTATAGTTGTGCTGGATAACTCAATTAACTCTCGTGTCAACAGCAAGTTAATCGGAAGATAAAAATAGAATGTGAGAATTAAGCACATGATTCCGATACCTTTCTAGAAGTTGACAAGAATTACCTGTGCCGAGATTTAACCCGTCTACAAACCCATTTCCACACTCTATGTAGGGCTTAGTGTTTTGCACTTATCACTCTGATCTTTCTTCAAGTCATGTGGACGTTCGAACGGTAGTTGGCGTTCGAACGTGGTACTCTAGTACTTCAGGATCCTCCTTCTGNATATGGCGGATGATCTGGCTACTTCAGGAGGAACTCCTCAAAGTCAGATTCTTCAGGGCTTCCTTGGTAGTGGCTCGGGCAACTCTTCATNCTGAGGCACCTCTGTTACTAGGTGAGATGCAGTTAGCCATGGGTACCTTTGGTGGTGAAAACTCTAGGAATATGGCGGATGATCTGGCTACTTCAGGAGGAACTCCTCAAAGTCAGATTCTTCAGGGCCTCCTTGGAAGTGGCTCGGGCAACTCTTCATGCCCTCGCAATAGAAAACACCAAGGGAATGTAGCTCTTGACGACGATGGATTCAAAGTAAGTACCATTTCTAGTACTCTCAATACGAACTCTAATATTTTGTGGATTGTTTTCGCTTACCACATTCCTCCAACGGTACTGTGCCGTTGAGCTAAGATGGGTGAGCTATGGGTGAGCTTTCTTGTGATCACTCCTCTGGTGACATTGTTGACTTGATCCGAAATGTGTACACCCAAGTGTAGGCAATCAAGCTGTAGTAATAATCCGGTTGAGTCTGGAGTCGAAGCCTCAAGGAACTATGATTGGTGTTTTGAAGTGATTAGTAGTAGCGACCAAGTAACTGAAAACCTTGAGAGTTTGAAGTTGTGGGATTTCCTGAATAGAATATAAAATTCTTTCCAAGAGTTTTCTAGACAAAATATAAAATAAATTTAAATGTACAACAGTCACCCTTTAGCTCGAGGATCAGAACATGTAGTTAATCATCCGGTTTATTATAGTTGTGCTGGATAACTCAATTAACTCTCGTGTCAACAACAAGTTAATCGGAAGATAAAAATAGAATGTGAGAATTAAGCACATGATTCCGATACCTTTCTAGAAGTTGACAAGAATTACCTGTGCCGAGATTTAACCCGTCTACAAACCCATTTCCACACTCTATGTAGGGCTTAGTGTTTTGCACTTATCACTCTGATCTTTCTTCAAGTCATGTGGACGTTCAAACGGTAGTTGGCGTTCGAACGTGGTACTCCAGTACTTCAGGGTCCTCCTTCTTNCATCGACTCCTTGGGTAGGGGGCATTTCTTGTCTTGTAGCTGGGGCACCACTGTGACATTGGCTTCTTTGAAAAGAGGCCTTGTTTAGTGGCCCCATCGACTTTTGAATTTCCATTTCAGGCCTCACCTTGACCCCATTGTCTTCGCACATCTGTGTTAGGGAAGGGAAGTCAATACTCTGCCCTTTTCCAAGTGAATAGAGTAAACGGGCCATATCGAGCAAAATTTTATTTTTTCTCCCTATTGGAGCAAAGTTCGAAACCACAATTAAGTTTAACATTTTGTATTTATCTGTGAGATCCCCTTGTCTAAAAAATCTCTTTCTAGTCCAAGAAAAATTAGCTACCCCTGTCAACTCCTTCCCCACAACATTCATAGCTATATTCTTTTTCAGAGGGTATGTTGGGTTCTGAACTCGGGGCATTTCTTGCCTCATTTCTCTTATATAGTCTTCATCCACGTTAATGTGGATTCCCCTTACATAACTTTTCAGTACCCCATTGACGATTTCTACGTTAGAGTAAAATTCCCTTACCAAATTGACAACAGCCTCCCCTCCGTTTTGCAAGTACAACCCCCAATTTCTTCTCTCCATGTCTACAAAGATGCCCAATTCAACAAAATCACTCAAAATTATATCTCTCTCACAGACCACAACATGCTTAAGGTAGAAGTTCTCATACTTGTTAGCCTTGAGGGCGCTGGGAAATCGAGTTCTATCATATCTCCTTATGATGGGCCTCCCATCTCTTTCCTCAATGACCTCTTTTACAAAATTGGACTCCTAGTTTGGCATATAACGCTTAGCAGNCATGCTTAAGGTAGAAGTTCTCATACTTGTTAGCCTTGAGGGCGCTGGGAAATCGAGTTCTATCATATCTCCTTATGATGGGCCTCCCATCTCTTTCCTCAATGACCTCTTTTACAAAATTGGACTCCTAGTTTGGCATATAACGCTTAGCAGGTAGTTTGACTCTAGGCATGGTGTTTTCAATTTTTGAGCTTGGAATGAATTTGAAACTCTTGATTTTCTAGTGAAAATAANTTGTCTTGTCTCTTTTCCTTTTTAGTTGTTTCCACCAACTTTTCTTTCATTGAACAGTAGCCACCATTGTCTTTTCTCTTTCTCTTGCTTTTTTGTATCATACTGATTTATATGAGGGTGTAAGAAAATTAGATAGTAAGGTATGTCAAGTATATTTTCTTGTGGCTTGGATATGGTATGAGTTTTTCGAAAAAGAACTCTNGATAGTAAGGTATGTCAAGTATATTTTCTTGTGGCTTGGATATGGTATGAGTTTTTCAAAAAAGAACTCTNTTGGGGAATAGAGGATATTTTGAGGACTGGGTACTGAAAAGTGGTTCTAGGGTTTAGGGGANACATTTGTTTCATTTATTATCAAGAATTACCAAAGTGCCAATTCTACATATGCATTTTAACAAACNATTTTCTTGTGGCTTGGATATGGTATGAGTTTTTCGAAAAAGAACTCTTTCATTGAAGGCTCAAGCATGGCTAACTAGGGATATACTTTGTGAAAGAAATGTCTAAGGCTCAAAGTCAAATCAAAGATGGCCTAAGATCCTTTCTCAAGTATGTGCACATGTATGTGTCGTATGCGTAGGTTCCTTGTGGGATATGTAAATAGATCACTTTAGTTGCGTCAATCAAAGCAAAGTTAATGAGATTATTGAAAAAATGAAAGTGAAAGAGCTTACTTTGAGTAATTTTGGATATCTTCTCAAAAAGCATCGCAAAGCTCAAAACTTACCATGGTATTCTTTGTCATCTCCACTGGTTATGTCGGGTGTTTCCAGGAATGTTGGTTATATAGCAATTCTATTTTCGAGTCTGATCATCTTGTACCTTAAGAATAACAAATACTAATGTCCTTTCAACAATTTAAGCATAGAGATAATACCACCTTTCCAGGAAATGTGGTTTCAAGTCTTGGTTGCTAAGTTGGGGTGTCAAACTGATCATATGCTTTAGTCATTTTAACAAGCAACCTTCGAATGCACATTTGTTTCATTTATTATCAAGAATTACCAAAGTGCCAATTCTACATATGCATTTAAACAAACAAAAGTGATAAACTGAATCATTCCATTCCATAAAATATGATGTTTACAGTAATACCAATGATTCAATCCATCCATACAAAAAGTGACCAAAACATATATTTCAAATATCCACAAACATCTATAAAACAACTATCCACCACCAAGAACAGAAAGAAATATCCACAACATCTACAAATATTCCCAAGGACACCCAAAGAAGAATCATATCTAAGAAGAAATAAATAGTAACCAAAGCTCAAACTCTCCATCTCCAAGAACAAAAATAACCCTCTTAATCTCCTCCGTCTCCCTCAGCTCTTGCAGGTCCACCAGCTCTACCAGCTCCACCCCTTAAGAGACTAAAGATCTCATCCTGCTTAGGTTCAATGCTAAGCAGGATGTCCTGTAAAGAACGCTGGGGGGTCGTGCTGGGACCTGCCTAACTGGCTGCTCTCTCTTTGTCTCTATCTCTTTCTCCTCTTAGGCATTAAGCTCCTCTTGCAAATCATCGACTCCTTGGGTAGGGGGCATTTCTTGTCTTGTAGCTGGGGCACCACTGTGACATTGGCTTCTTTGAAAAGAGGCCTTGTTTAGTGGCCCCATCGACTTTTGAATTTCCATTTCAGGCCTCACCTTGACCCCATTGTCTTCGCACATCTGTGTTAGGGAAGGGAAGTCAATACTCTGCCCTTTTCCAAGTGAATAGAGTAAACGGGCCATATCGAGCAAAATTTTATTTTTTCTCCCTATTGGAGCAAAGTTCGAAACCACAATTAAGTTTAACATTTTGTATTTATCTGTGAGATCCCCTTGTCTAAAAAATCTCTTTCTAGTCCAAGAAAAATTAGCTACCCCTGTCAACTCCTTCCCCACAACATTCATAGCTATATTCTTTTTCAGAGGGTATGTTGGGTTCTGAACTCGGGGCATTTCTTGCCTCATTTCTCTTATATAGTCTTCATCCACGTTAATGTGGATTCCCCTTACATAACTTTTCAGTACCCCATTGACGATTTCTACGTTAGAGTAAAATTCCCTTACCAAATTGACAACAGCCTCCCCTCCGTTTTGCAAGTACAACCCCCAATTTCTTCTCTCCATGTCTACAAAGATGCCCAATTCAACAAAATCACTCAAAATTATATCTCTCTCACAGACCACAACATGCTTAAGGTAGAAGTTCTCATACTTGTTAGCCTTGAGGGCGCTGGGAAATCGAGTTCTATCATATCTCCTTATGATGGGCCTCCCATCTCTTTCCTCAATGACCTCTTTTACAAAATTGGACTCCTAGTTTGGCATATAACGCTTAGCAGGTAGTTTGACTCTAGGCATGGTGTTTTCAATTTTTGAGCTTGGAATGAATTTGAAACTCTTGATTTTCTAGTGAAAATAAGGATTTCAGATGTGGGAATGAGTTTTGGGAAGGACGATTTCAAGTGGAAATGGGGAATAGAGGATATTTTGAGGACTGGGTACTGAAAAGTGGTTCTAGGGTTTAGGGGATTTTGAAGGATTTTGGGAGTTTTGGAATGAGGCAGATGATCTAGGCTTTTATAACCTGAGAAGGATCGTTCAAACGTTAATAACGTTCGAACGTCTGTAGAAGAATTTTTAAAATATCGGTCGAATGTGGATGTCGTTCGAACATGGTGAGCTCCTAANGATTTTGAAGGATTTTGGGAGTTTTGGAATGAGGCAGATGATCTAGGCTTTTATAACATGAGAAGGATCGTTCAAACGTTAATAACGTTCGAACGTCTGTAGAAGAATTTTTAAAATATCGTTCGAATGTGGATGTCGTTCGAACATGGTGAGCTCCCAGNTCCATACAAAAAGTGACCAAAACATATATTTCAAATATCCACAAACATCTATAAAACCACTATCCACCACCAAGAACAGAAAGAAATATCCACAACATCTACAAATATCCCCAAGGACACCCAAAGAAGAATCATATCTAAGAAGAAATAAATAGTAACCAAAGCTCANAAAAATGAAAGTGAAAGAGCTTACTTTGAGTAATTTTGGATATCTTCTCAAAAAGCATCTCA